TCTACTTTTGTTTGGAGTGTAGTGAAGGACAATAGAGGAATGATAGCAAGATGGGCAGGAAAGGAAATTGGTTGTCTTCTGTAAAGAAAGCTCTAAGCCCAAATACTAAAGAGAAAAAAGCAAAGGTGACGTATATTTTTTTATTTTTATTTTTTACCATAATCACGTTTAAGTTCCTTTCGTTTTAATTTTGATCTTGTTTCATTCTAATCTTGATGTTTACTTGCAGAAAGCTGATCAATCAAAGAATAAATTGTTTGGAAATGAAAAGCCGCAAGTATGTGAACCTTTAAACCAAGAAGCTTCTCAAGCTTCTTCTCATCCTCCCACTCTGCCACCTTTGGAGGATGTGGAATTAGCAGAAATCGAGGATGAGCAGACAAAACGTGCTTATGATGTGGCAGTTGAAACGATGTCGGTGGAAGAGAAGGCTACAAACGTTGTTCGGCTGTCTAAGCCTTCTCTGTTTGCCGGAAAATCTGCTGAGGAAATAGCCGCCATCAAGATTCAGACGGCATTTCGCGGTTACTTAGTATGTTGTTCGTTGTTTTCCTTGTCTGGGCTTTGCTTGTTTTACTTGTCGAGAGTGTTGTTTATGCAAAAATTGACTAAATTGCCCCTCTCTTTTTTTTTTTTTTTCTAACAAATTATCAATCTTGTTTGTTTGGTGGAATAAACGAGAGCATCTCCAATGGAACCCATTGATTGCTCTATATTTATGCGAGTTGTTCGTAAAAAAATATATAGGTAGCATGAACTGTGTCTAGAAGTTAAATCTTTATTTTACATCTTATCTCTTATCCGATCAATCGATATTTATTTTTCCTTTGTTCTTGCCACATTTTTCACGATGGACATTGTATTTGTGACATTGGAGATGCTCTGAGAAAGTATCAAGAATGTAGTAGGAGAAAATATTTTGTTACCCATATTACAACTATTATGTTAATTATGCAAAAATGTTCTCTTAGTTTGTGTGAATTTTCTCCAAAACCATTTTGGTAGGATGGATGCTGTATAGTGATATTCTTTTTCTCTATTATTTTGGTTAGTTTTAGAGGTGCGTGATAATTTCTTATAATTATCATTCACAATGTCTAAAATCTATAGATGGGTATCTATTATCCATGATATTCAAAATGAAGTATGAAAGGTGTGTTTCCATATTGTAACGAGTTTTTTCCTAAAAAAAAGTGGGATCTAATGGTGCCTTGCTAATTTTTTTATCAATTAGATGTATATTTGACGTATTATTATTATTTCTTTTTTTTTTATGTGATTCTGGAGTCGTTGATGATTGCACAGTCTTAACTTTTCTGGTTTCACCTCTTAAATGCTACTGGAAAGTTTATTTCCTAGTGATTTGCCGAACAAACTGTATGAAAAACTTACGATTTGCTCATCATAATTTTAGTTTAAACTTTCTACCATTATCTAAACTTGTCAGATGAAGATTAATTTCTAACTTTACCTTTCTTTTCTTATTGGTTATTACCGAGGTGAGTTCTTCATTATAGTTTCAATGACCCTTAATTAAGATGGGAATTTTTTGTTCTTGTTCTTAATTTCAGGCGAGGAGGGCATTAAGGGCTCTGAGAGGGTTGGTTCGACTGAAATCACTGGTTGATGGGCCCACAGCCAAACGCCAAACGGCAAGTACTTTGAAATGTATGCAGACATTATCTCGTGTTCAGTCTCAGATTCAATCGAGAAGGCTAAGGATGTTAGAAGAGAATAGAGCTCTCCAGAGGCAGCTACTCCAAAATCGTGCTAAAGAGCTCGAAAGTCTCAGAGTTAGTTTTTTTTTTTTTTTTTTTTTTTTTTTTTTTTTTTTTGCACTAATAATTGGTACATATTATCTTCATGAATCAACAAAATAAATCTCTCAGTCTATAAAGATGCTTGGTAGGAGCAAAACTTGTTGTGCTATAAGTGCAATAATCCAAATTTGAGTGATTTGATTAGCCTTGATCGAAAATTGCAACTTTCTTCAATTGGCCTGTTGGTGCAAATCAGGCCGTATTTATTTATTTTTTTTTTTTCCTCAGGGTTAATTGCGATTCTCATTCTTTTTATTCTCCATGTTGTGTCTTTTTTATAAATCTCTCTGCCCTTATTATTTTTTATTCTTTATACTTTAAAATCGTGCTAAAGAGCTCGAAAGTCTCAGAGTTAGTTTTTTCTTTGCACCAATAATTGCATACATATTATCTTCCATGAATCAACAAAATATAAAACTTTCAGTCTATCAATATGCTTGGTAGGAGCAAAACTTGTTGTGCTGTAAGTCTTATAAACATTGACATAATTTCTTGAAATCTGCAATATGTGTTTTGATTTTCCATTTTTTTTAATGTATTTAAAAGAAAATTTCCGTTGTTAAACTGAGAGAGACTACAATGTTGTTGTAGATCGGTGAGGAATGGGATGATAGTCCACAGTCGAAAGAGCAAATTGAGGCGAGCTTGCTGCATAAATTTGAAGCTGCAATGAGGCGTGAACGGGCTTTAGCTTATTCATACACTCATCAGGTATTTCAAATATTTTTTCTAACCGTAAAACACAATGTCCTGCTATCTCACAACGTATTAATTTTGCTAAAAGTGTCACGAATTACTAATACCACCCTCGAGGTTAAGTCTAACTACCCAAAAAAAAAAACAACTTTACTACTTGCAAATTACCAATGTAAGAAACATGTCCATTTCACAAACTGCACCCCTTTGAGTGAGCTGATTTGTGGTTTTGATTGGATATGAATTTGATTGGAAAAAATCAATCATTTTTAACTCAATCATTTTTTTTTTCAAACTCATCTTTAATCCAACCTCACTATCCTCAATATTATCAATATAATTAAATAATATCAATCAATCATTCTTATACATTACATCAACTTTTATTCACTATTTTACCACGCACATAATTTTAACTATCACTTCACATCATCTCTCTCCTACTTTTATATCAAATTAAACTATAATTATTTTATTTTAATATTATTTTAATATAAACTCAAAATTCCACTAACAACTAACCATACCATTTTTTTTTTTTTCAAAATGAACTATGATTAACAAAAAAACCAATCAAAACCAAATCAAATCTATATCCAATCACAATAACATCAACTCGGTACTTGTTCTTTTGGAAAATAACATTTTTTTTTTCTTTTAAATTTATACCTAACATTTTGGTTTTAATCATATAACATTTATCCAGCAAACATGGAAAAAATCATCCAAGCCGACCAACTTGCTCTTCATGGACCCAACCAATCCTCACTGGGGCTGGAGCTGGTTAGAACGCTGGATGCCAGCTGTCACCGGGCCATTGGATAATTATTCCCAAATTGCCCTTGATAAAGAAAACAATATCAAAACCCCTTCTGGACTTGGTGACATCACTAAGTCTTTTGCCCGTCATCAGCTCTCGAATTCCGAGCCAAATCCATCTTCACCGACCAGCCTAAAAAAACCTCCTCTTACCCCAAAATCATCAGCCTCTGTAACTTCCAGGAAAATCAAGCTCCCGAGCCCAAAAGGGAGCTCGATTAGTCAAGATGATGAATCGAGAAGTACTTTTAGCATGAATTCGGGAAGGAATAATAGGAGGCATACAATTGGTGGGGGTTCGTCTATTAGAGACGATGAGAGTTTGACGAGTTCACAAACCTTGCCGAGTTACATGGTGCCAACTCAATCGGCTAGGGCTAAGCTGAGGCTTTCTAGTCCATTGGGAATGGAGAATGGTGGTTTTAATAATAACAGTAATGGTGATGATAATAATAATAATAGTAATAGTAATACGCCTCAAAAGGGGTCGGTTAAAAAACGGCTTTCTTACCCGCCTTCGCCGGCTAGGGGGAGGAGAAATCCGGGCGTGCAAAAATCAGAGTTGTGAAGGTTTTCAACCATTTACATTGTTTGATTTTTTATTTTATTGGGTTTGGCCAAATTTCTATTGTTGATGTTTTTCATTTTGTGAATGTTGTGAAAATTGTGTGACAGAACAATTTGGAGTTGTGATTCTTTATTGAAATTTCATTTTTTTTTTGGTAGTTTGTGTTTTGTTTGTTGGCATTGTGAGGAGGGCTTTGGTTTGTGATTTTGGTTGACCCAGGCTGTGCAAATGTCCTAATGATTGGGGCTGAAAAATTATTACAATTCATGACAAGTTTGATAATAAAACGTTAAAGTGTTCTTGTTGGCGAGTTATTTTACCTTTGTCCAGGCTAGAGCTACAAACAGCTGTGCCGATTTTGAGATCTTGACTTATACTCGAGCACGGGCCTTTAACGAAATTTAACAATTTAGGATTCAATGTAAAAAATCCAATTTTATCACGTCTAACAAGCCTAATCTCGTTGACTAAATGAGCATTAAACAAGTTTGATGCGACTCGTTTATCACTATGAACGACAAGCGACTCATTTCACTTAATCTAAATAAGCTTAGATTAAATGACTAAAAACCAACAAACAATCCATTTTATTTTAATTTGAATGAGCCTTAAACAAGTTCGAACTTGACTCATTCATAAAGAAACCAGAGCGGACAAGCAACCCATTTTATTTAATGGCAAACAAATGTGGTATTTAAGAGCTCGTTTTTAATAATAATAATTGCAATTATTGAATACTTGGGCAAACTTATGAGATGTGATGTCAAAATTTATTTAAAAAAAATCATAAGTGGATATTTGTATTTGTGTAGTAAGTAAAAATAACTCTTTAAAGTAAAACAAAAAAAAAAAAATAACTTTTGAAATCAAGATTTTTAATAAATGTAATGGTGAAACACTTTTTTTGTTGTCTTATTAAATATCTAATTAATTTTATAGAAGATGCTACGGTCCTTTATGAAATTATTTCGTCGGGTTTCGTAACATTTAAATCAACTATTTCCAATGATTGCATGATGATTCAACGATAAGAGAATCATAGTATTACTCAATTTTATAAACTACTTCATAACCTAGGAAGCATAGACAAAACAATAACCCTATTTCTATCTAGTTCGACTTTCAAGTTTCAACAGACAATACCCGTCGATTTTAAATCCAGTAAAATAAACAAAACCCTAATTCTTGTTCAATTGGGAAAAGGGTCACAAGGTTCTTAATTCGAGCTAAAGGAGAAGAAAAGATTAGATCTTTGCATGTTTTGTTGATTTCAAGCACTGAAGCCCTTCTTCGGAACCCAAAAATGGTGAGTCTTACATCCTTAATTTATCCTCGGGTACGAACAGTCATTCGATCTATACATATGATTGTATTGGTGAGTGGATTTGTGCGTCTGTTTTGCAGAAATTATTTTTTATTTTATTTTATTTTATTTTTTTTATATCTCTGATGGTTATTTACTTTAGCAGTGTGTAAAGAAGAACAGGTATAAAATTATAAATCTTTTGCATGACTGATAAATTGGCCTTAATTTTCCCAGTATAGTTGATGAAAAGAACCCTTGCAAGCAATAAATTTTCGAAGCATTTGGGTCGTTGATGTAAATTGTCGATTTTCAGAGCCTTCCTTTTGGCATTTTATGAATAATATGTGTTTTATTGTTCTCCTGATATTTTGCTCTTAGAAATGTAAATGAGTCGGGATGAATTCGAGCTTATGATACGCAAGATCGGATTCCAGACTTTGCTGAGCCGAATCGAGCTTGGTTCGTTAACTATATGAGCAGATAAATGAGCTTGATCTTGACTCATTTATCAGTACTAACGAACCAAATTCGAGCCTTAACGAGCCGAGCCTCTAACTAAACCAGCTTATGCATATCAATTGAGCCAATCAGAGCTCACAAGTGACTCGTTTCATTTAAGTGGCAACAATTTGTAACCTTTTTCTGCTTTTGCGTTAGCTTGTGAAGAATTGGTTGAGTTTACCATCAACATTGTGATATTAGTATCATTTTGTCACTACTTGTCTCGGTCCTTGATGGATTAGTTGATCTTGGTTCTTTTTAAAAAAAAAATAAATAAATAGAAACTTTAATGAATATTTAATTGTCAACCTTAAATTTTGCAATAGGCTTCGCCATTAATAGCTGGGATGGCTGTTGCTGCTGCTGCTTATGCTGGTAAATACGGGCTTCGTGCCTGGCAAGCATTCAAGGCGAGGCCACCAACTGCTAGGATGCGTAAATTCTATGAAGGCGGTTTCCAGCCGAAAATGACGAGAAGGGAAGCAGCTCTTATTCTTGGAGTGAGGTAATTTTTCAAAATTTGCCACCTTTTTCTCTAACCCTCCGTAGTTTAGCACGAAATTTGAGAATTCCTTTCTAATTCTTTTGCTTCCTTTTTGTTTTTTTTTTGTTTTTTGTTATCCTGTAGTTGTGTGTTTTACTTAAAATTGGTCAATTTCTAGTAGAAGTGCAATAATCTAGCTTTGAGTAATTTGATTTCTAGCCTTGATCGAAAATGGCAACTTTCTTTAATTGTCCTTATGGTGCAGATCCAATCAATTTTTCATTTTTTCTCAGGGTTAATTGGGATTCTCGTTACTTCTTATTCTTAATGTCGTTTCTTTTATGGATCTCTCTGCCCTTATTATTTTTCTTTTCTTTATGTTTAATCCGGATCTTCTATATGATATCTGATCAATAATTTTTTTAATTCACAATTTAACTCAACTCTCAAACCTCCTCAATATTATAATAATAATCGATCATCCTCACACATCATATCAACTTTAATTCGCTAATTCATCAACTCACATAATTTGAACTACTTATCATTTCCAATCAGCTCACTTTTACATCAAATCGTCATTGTATTTTAAATATTATTTTAATACAAACTCAAAATCCCACTCAAACCTAACCCAATCAACTTTTTCAAAATTAACTTTGATCCAATCCCACTAGTAATTTTTTTTTTTATTGCCAGCTGATATGGTCACGACTAACACCATTTGACGATGAAAAAATTTGAAAAAAAAAATTCTGAATTTGCATTAAATTTGAATTCGATCATCGATTTTTTAAAACTGAGCAGGGAAAGCACTCCAACCGACAAGATAAGAGAGGCTCACAGGCGGCTGATGGTGGCCAACCATCCGGACGCTGGCGGAAGCCATTACATTGCTTCTAAAGTCAATGAAGCTAAGGATTTGTTACTCGGAAAGTCGAAAAGTAGCGACTCTGCATTTTAGTCATAAGCAAAATGGACTATGCAAAGTTGTTACTGTTTTGGAAGATAGATGATAAGCACCACAGGGAACGAGATTTATCAATGGCTGCCAATTTTGCTGCTTATTTTTTGCAGTCTTATTCCCTACAGGCTAGTTGTGTGTTCTCTATTGATTCCTTAAAACTCTTTTTGTACGTGTATACTGTGTGCTATAACTTGGGCATTGGACTTTTTGTTTCATTTGTTGAGCCGACCCAAGCTTTAATCTTTTGATTCTTGAGCCTTTACTGAACTGATATGAGCTTGAATTTACGTCGATTATCAATTATAACAAGCCAGACTAAGATAAAAAGCAATAAAAAAATATGTGAAGATCAATATTCTCGAGCCTAACAAGTTGAGCTCGACTCGACATGTTAACCAAATGAGCTAACAAGTCGATCTTGACTAGGGTTGATTAATCAAACGGGGCGCTTTTGAGCTTCACTCGTTTAATGAGCAAATTTAGCTTGGGCTTAATTTAAATCTCGTTTGGTTAACGAATCGAGCCTGACTCAGCTCGATGAGATTCTTATAAATCAAAAAGATAATTGTTTACATAGTTTTATACAGTTCGGCTCAAGGCTCGAGCTCGGTTCGTTAATTTTGATAGAAGGGCCGAGTTAGAGCTCAATTATAACCTCGTTAGGTTAATGAGCGGAGCTCGGTTCACTAAGAGCTCGAGCTCGAGCAGCATGGAATCGAGCTCGGCTTGGCTTGTTTACTCCCTCAATTGTTTATCAATCGTCTACACCCTCGAGCCACCTCTCTGGCGGTCCCCCGCCCTCAATGATGCCGACCAACTTTTAATTTGTTCAGGTCCGTCATCATAGATCCAGTTTGCCATTGCGGGATTCGAGGGTGGAAGGTCCGGTTCTCTTGCAGTGGCGGTCGTCGTTGGCGGTCTGCATTTTGAGATCTCAAAAAATCTTTGAACCCAAAAATTTTGAATATTGAGGTTGAGCTATTAATTTTGGTGGAAAAGATAAGAGATGAATAAATATTAAATATAATGTCTCCATTATACTAGTTTATGAGTTTTCTCAAGTGTTTTCACATGGAGGAATATCTTAAAACTATGTCTCGTTTAATAGGGGGCTCGAGTTTGAGTTCGTCAAATAAACGAGTCTAAAATCGAGTTCAAGTTCGAGCTCGAGTTCAGTTCGTTTATCACTAATAAGTAATAACGAGCTAAGTTTGAGCCTTAGCGAGTCGATCTCGAGTTTAGCTAGTCGAACTATAGAAAATTGTATAAAAATTCTCTTGTTGAGTTTTATCTAGCCGAGCTCGGCTCATTAACCAAACGAGTTTTAAATGAGCTCGAGCTCAAACGAGCCGAGCTGAGCTATGGTTGTTAACTGATTCAACAACCTGTTTATTTTCGTAATATTACATTCACTTGTTTATTTTCCTCATTTATTAATCTATATCTATATAAAAAGATTTACAATTTCTCAAAAATGGCAGGTCAACCTTGGTTAAATTTTAATTAGCATCAATAACTTACTATTTTTAGTAATTTTTTTCTTTTTTTTTTTTTCAAAAAAATCAGCCAATTGCCCTTAAATTAGGGATTTGTTACATTTTTTATTTGAGGGCATTTACTAACTATATGGAGCAACAAATACATGTGCAAAACGCCTCATTGCTAAATTTGGTCACATTACGGTGCAAAACGTCAAATTTGATTGATTGCTCCATATTTTGTTTGTATGTATATGAATTTTCTTTTTTCTCTTTTTTTAATTATTAAAATTCATCTAAAAGTTATAAATGAAACAACTATATATATATATATATATATATTATATATATATATATTATAAAAATAACCATTTACTGAAAGTACCAACGAAAAAAAATCAGAGAATATTAATTACATTCACTATTAAAAAGATATTCAAATTTGATTTTTTTTACTCTATCATTGTCGGGTTTCGTGGGTTTTCTTGAAAATCATTAAATTTCTAAATCCTAAAAATCGACAATTCAAATCTCAAAATCACTAAGCATCTAATTTTCTTAAATGAAGTATTCTGTAAATTTATTCGTGTTTATTCCAATTATTATTTTGAGGATCTGGATTCACTATCCATTCAATGGAAACTATTCTTGGCTATTCTCCCTTCTCCCGAACTTTTAACGAAAAGATTCAGAAGCAGCGAAAGAATACAAGAAAGAAAGCATATCACCAGAGAAATACGTTAATCAAAGAGCAGACCCAACGAACGAAGCGAAGCGAAGTGAAGTCATAGAGATTAAGAAAAAGGCATTGTTTCCGGGTCTTGCTAAGGTCGGGAGGATATTGCAAACAGTAGAAGCACTACCGAGCACTACGGTAAGGGAGACTGGCATCGGCACCGTCAGGTCGTGCTGCATGACCTTGGAATCCTTGGTTTGGTGACTGATCAAAATAATAAAGGATGATGATGATGATCAGAGCATGTTCGGGGATGAATGTAGTCGGGGGAGATTGGGAGTTAGGAAGGATATATCTTATCAATGTCTCTTTTTCACAATCGCCGATCGAAAGAGTGCAACCATGGCAAGCAAGACGCGAATAGAGTTGTCTTTCACAACAGGGGAGAATACTTCTAAGAAGTCCACACCCTCTCTCTGTACCTACCATTGGAGGGCTATAGGAGGGCAGAGTAAAGGGATCTGAACCCCGAGGTACTCACAATTAGGGGGTCAAAGAGTTTTAAAAAACGTTTTTGGTCGAAAACAGTGTGAATGAAACACTTTAATAAATTGAATTGATTCCATGAATCTGAGAAAGTGGGAGCAAGTTTCAAAAAGGATCTTAGAGTGTCTAGGGTTGGGCCAGGAGGGTCTCTTAACGCCTTCTTTTTTCTTCTCATCGGAGTTATTTCACAAAGACTTGCCAGGGTAAGGAAAAAGGGGACCTATCGAGATGCTTCCTTGCAGAACCGGGATCAACTTCAATGAATTATAGCGTAACGGGCTTGGTATAGATCCTCCGCCCGCGGAGGGAAATTTATCTTTATCTTCGAACCTCGAAAGAAAGATCTTTATTTCCTTTGATGAAAAATTTTCTATTTTTATTTGTTTGTAATATATAGTTAAATTGGATTGTGGGTGCAAGTCAACATATGAAATATCATACTGATGTGGCATTCCCGACTTTCAAAGGGTTGGTAGACTTCAAGTTGGGTCAGCTAGACCTAAGTAAGTAGGCATCGAAGGAGGATTGTAGTAAGGAGTTTTGCGATTTGACTACTTTTTAGTTGAAGAACAATGTTCACCAATTCCTATTCGAGGGTGCAAACTCGCGATAAAAGGTCGAGCGAAGAGAAACGAAGAAGAGGGCATGGTACGGCTTGAAATCTACTGAAGGAAGTCTTCTATGAAGGGACAACCCACGGAACACGAAAACGTGGTCGGTGAACAATCGGTTCAAGCCATCCAATCCATTCACTCAGAAAGAGGAGCTTCGTAACGATGATCTCATACGAGACGATCTTTCTCTCAGAATGGCATATAGATAAAGTGAATTATTTGGTCCCACTCGTTATCAATGGGATCAGGGTTACTTCCAGCAAGAGATATATCAAAGAGTTGGTGCCGGGCTAGCAGAAAATCAAAGTTTATCAGAAACCTGGGCGCTTTAACCATTCAGCCATGGATACTTAACACCCCGTACATGGTGGATAACCAAATTTCTATTGAAATGCAATCTTTAAACAAACAATTAAGAAATCCAACTGAGCAGAGTTTCCAAGATTACCCGAAGCTTGCAACAGGCCCGATTCCGCCTATTCCTAATCTTTGCTTATGGTAAGTCCTATTATTTTGAAGGGATACTATACCCTTCTAGTGGATACCTCGTAGGATGCTTGGGGTTGGCAAGCACGGGTAAGGTTATATTTTTAAGTTACAAGATACAATCGTAATTAAAAATAAAAAAATTATGGTGAACCATAACTAATCTGTATTTAAGATGAATATCAAAATTTATTGAATAGGAGACATGCATTGTCAATCAATTTTTTAACAGAATGATAAGGTAAACATTTTATGAAATAAAAATTTCAGTCAAAATTGGAAAAAGTCTCGATTGTACAGGTGCATTTTAAATTTATGAGATAAATATTCATTTGTTTAAATAAAAGATACAATACAAATCCAAAAATTTGTTTGGTATTTCGAAAAACAAGTGAAATTCGAACAAAAAAACATAAAATCAACCATTTTTTACGTGATTGCTGAAAATATGTATTGTAAATTGAAAACAAAAATATTTTATTCACAAGGTTAATTTGTGAATCATTCTTCATAATCGAACGGAATAGAGTTGAGGTAAAACAAAAATGTGCATGTGGATCGTATGAAAACCCTAAAAAGTCTGAAAATTTTATCTTTTATAGGTGAATTGGATTGTTCACAGCCTTTAATCATTTCGACCGATTTAGATTGTCCAATCACCAATTTCGTGCATGTGGGTTGTGTTAGTGTATATACTGAAAGCTTGACTTATTGCGTTATTTATATTATTTTCTTTTGAATGAGAATTGCGTTTAACATAGAATATTTTAGATACTTCTTACATATATATGTTACTCCACATTTTTATTATTAGTTAATATTGTTTACTCTTCTCTTTAATTTATAACTATTATTTAATATAATTTTCTCGTGCATCGCACGGGGTACGCACTAGTTAATGAATGACAACGTATAGAAAAAAGAAAACGAAACTAACCTGGACTTAAATTCCTCTTAACATGGGTATGTGAAACATAGAAACTAACCCATTATTATTGACCTTAAATTGGGCTACTAAGATTCCGTAGAGAAGCCCAATTTCAGGTATATTTGGTCCGGCCCATGACCTTTTCATGTTCATTATAACGTTCGGGTTTGGATGACGCCCTTCGGTGTTCGCCACGCGTTTGAAATTTCGAAGCTCAGCCATGGAAGAGTCGATAAGCGAAATCTGAAGCTAAAATTCTACAGCTATAATTATAGCGCCATTTTGGTGATTCCTATTCTATTTTTTTCCGCCATTTTTTGTCCGAACATATTCCACTGGGAAATGGCGACTGGGATAAGTTTCTTTCATTCAACGTCCTTCGTTCACCCGGTAAATCTCTCTCTCTGTGTGTGTATGTGTGTGTGTGTGTGTGTGTGTGTGTGTGTGTGTGTGTGTGTTTTGTGCGTACTTATTGAGATGCGTTTTACTGTGAGAGCTTGAAAATTTCATAATATGCTATGTAGAAAAATTTGATGAATCGAATTTGAGAATGGGCCCTTGTTCAGTTCAAGCATTTGTAAACTGTAAAGCACAATGAGTATGGTGCTGATTTAGTGACTTAATAAGGAACTGTTGGTGTTTGTTATTTCAGCTTTGTCTTTGTAGAAGAGGGATCAGCGAAAAGATTGTGAGGATGAAGCTTAATTCATCGAGTTTCGCGGGGTGGAGACAGAGGTAATTTGTTTTTTAGTATTCATAAGCGTTGAAGATGAAGATACAGTTAACTATGATACTTGCATTTTTCCTTAGTTTGATGATTGATTGGTTGTAATGTAAGAAATCCTTAGTTTGGTGATTGATTGATTGATTGTAATGTAAGAAATCAGTTTATTGCTACCGATGTTATGGGGCTTTGATAGACACCGGCAGTACAATCGCCCATCAAGATTTGATGT